ATTAAATTTGCAAACGCGATTTTTGGTATCAAGAGAAAAAAGTTTTAGTTTGTTTTATCAGATAAGGAATTTTTTTTTTATCTATGTGTAACTTTATATTCTAAATGTACTGAAGATGGTCAATATACAAATATTGACCGAAACGTTTACTTATTTTATATTAAATATATGTTTTAAGTAAATTACATCAAGCGTTGTGGCTATATGCTCTTTATTGTTTATATTTGTTATTTTTAAGCCACTAAATTATCTTTATTTAATATATAATTAAATAATGTTAATTTGATATAATTTATGATAAGCGCGAGCGAAAAATATCAAAACACGACCCGTGGTTTCAATTGACACATTAATTAGAGACAAGCAGCGCACGTGTCTCATTTGCATATCGCTTTTATCGTCTCCGCATGTATTACCGAGAGCAGAACAACGAGAGGAAGGTTACGAAGGGGTCGCTGGACCAGCAGAAACTTATAGCAAACCTGGCTGGTAGAAACAGGACTGAATGCTAAGCACGGCCAGTCGGTTACATTTGCTTGCCGCCCGGCTTCTTAATGAAAACCAACGGCATGGAAACGTCAGGTTTGCTTTGCCTTAAAATTGGAGGCACGACTCGCTTAGCACGGGTATTCCCAACGCAAACGGAATGAGGTTCAAATGCACGGCTAATTCGCTATGCTGTTTTACATCTTATACCTTGCCAACGATCAACTCTCGTTCTATCAACTCTCGCATATCCTAAGTACATTAACGTAAATGAAAATGCATTTACGAAAAATATATTTTTAACTTCATGAAACAATCAGAACTAATTAACACTAGTACCGCTGATGGTGCCATTTTGACTCTGATAATCATTTAATTTTTTCTTCTATTAGATATACAATACAAAATATTGAAAATATATGAATATAATATAAATCACTCTAACAATATAAATAATACAAAAATAACGTTTTACTAATCGAAAATCGAATAGGAAATTACTAAATTGACACGTTCAACTGTTGTAACTGGATATCACTGACAGTTCTAGTGTTAAGGTTTAACCAACATCAAATTCTAAAAAGATACGATATTCTATTTTCGTAATTGCACTAACAATTAAAATTATATAAACATATTTCCCTGCATTTCTTCGGTATTTACTGTCACCTGCAATATGGACAGAAACAAAATTTAGTCAACTCTGATGAATGTTGACACGAATCGGCTGCAAGTAGCAGTTACAAGCAATAAAGCGAGTTACAATAGCCTTCGCGATTATCTACTTCATCGTGACTACTTATAAAGCGATGAAGCATCGTCTCGCGAAAAGAACTGCTCGTTCACCTTTTAACGATGGCAAGAAGCGCGGATGCAATAACTTGACAGAAAAGTAACCGGAAGGGCTGTGTTGCTCGTTATGTAGCGTCTACGCTTTTACACTTCCCGATACACTCAGCCTTAACTTTTTACTCTCTTCATCGGCCTTTACGGAAAATTAACGACGGCACGGCGCAAAGCGAGGCGCTCGATTAGAGGCTGAATATTTATGCTCGCCCACTTTATGCCCTCCCCATTTTCTGTAAGAGAAAGTGTTTATCCGCGCCTGTCTCGGCAAAAACGCGATGTCTAATTATTTCTCATTATTCCCTCATTCATGTCAAACTTTATAGTTAACTTTCACTTTTCAAACTTTTCCGAATAACCGTATCTACGATGATGAAATAAATCGAATAAAATTGATATAGAAAGAAACCAAAAAAAATACGCTTTCATATTGATATCCAATTGATTACCAATATGTAGTCAATAGAATGCAAAAGTAAATGTAGAGAAATAAATGCGAAAATCAATCTTACAAATTCTTATATTTTATGAATTACAAGTATCAGATGTAATTACACGAGTAAAAAACTGACAAGTTTATGTTTTATTCATGTCTTTTTATCATTAAAGTAAGTTTTTATTTTTTTTATTATTAACGAATTAGGCCGTACCTTGCTTCCAATTTTCCTCAAATATTTATTACATTATCGTTCGTGAAACGCGTATATCACAGGTAAATGTAAGTGAATATTCGCGATGTATGAAATTCGGACACGCAGATTAAGCCTAAAATGACTGCGTGGATCAGTCATTCCTACGGGAACATATACCTATCTCTTGCACGTTACAGGCCTCCCAGCGACCTCGGAATGGTTCACCATGACGTAAAATTCGACGCTAGCGCAGGTGCGTGTCCCACGCGTTATCGACCAGCGATAAACGCCAGACGATACATTGACGTGATACCGGGAACGGCGGTAAGTCGATCCTCATCGTTGGACGGCATGATCAAAATGAATGTCCACGTTGATAGTACTCGCACTACATCTTCGAGACTACCCATTGCGACAAATCGCGATGCGATTTGAAAACGATTAACGCTATCTCGAGTCTACATCTGTCTACGAAAGCGACGCTACCACAGTTACCCCTTTTTGCTTGCTCATAAGGCACATTAATGAAACAATTCATGCGGAATTATTTAATTCTTAATATTAGAAGTATATAAATAGAAGTATGTAAAATACTTCAAAAATAAAAAAGTGATAAAAAACTGAATATTTCATCAGTATAAAAGACATAATTATTGAGAAGTTAAAAAAAAAATTCTACACTGAAAGAAAAGATTGGTTGCTGCAACAATTTGACATAGCATTTTTATATGGCTGCAGCAACCAGTTTTTGGTTGTAGCAGCAAATTTTTAATTGCGTTAGCCTATCCGCAATGTCAGTATATGATTTCGATAGGCAACTAAAAATTTGCTCCTACAACTAAAAACTGGTTGTTGCAGCCATATAAAAATGCTATGCCATATTTTACTATCTCAACTGTTGCAGCAACCAATCTTTTTTTTCAGTGTATCTTTTATACAAGAAATATAATATTGATCTAAAAAAATAAAAACAGTCAATAATAATCGCTCGATACTTCTAGTGTTAAAAATATCAATAATTTCAGCATAATATAAATGCTAAATTCCGCAAATTTATGTTGCCTTTTAAACTTTTTTTTGCTATAATTTTTAATAATTTATACGCTAATCTTTAATATTCTCCCGTGATGAAAGTCGTTGCGAACGAAGTTGCGCAAAAATGTTAAATAATCATAAAATTACCATGTCAAATAATTATAAATTAGCGAAAATACATGCTACCGTGTTAATATGAGAATTTTGCTTGACACGGTGCGAGTCGTAATTCCTCGTGCCAATATATTCCACGTGTCCTTTGTATCCTGTGGGTGCCCACACCCTTATTCGATCGGGCGTTTCGCGACGCGATTCAAAGGCGATTAATATTATCTGGAGCTGCCGATACGACTGGCGCTCCATCACGGACGAGGAGAGAAGAAAAGGAAACCGAGGCGATGGCGGTGGAGGCATCCGCAACTGGCAACGAAACCAATAACTATTAATCGAAGCGCCACCGCACATTCAGCAAAGTCGACGCGATTTAAACGCGCAACAACCCTCGATTATATCCTCCGTACCTCTAGCGTGTTGGGGCACGCACGTATTTCAAACGGTGAACACCATTCTAAACGCAAAGTCGTGTCTCTCTTTACGACCCTTTCATCTTGCGTCGCTCTTCCCATTAAGCTCCTCGTAATAGCGTGCTGATTTCGCGATGTACGTATCTCTAAGGAAATATATCTTCAGCCCTTCAATTCCAGATATTCTACATATCCTCAGAGTGCGCGTTAGTATCTCAAAGATTAATGTTTATTCGTTTGTATATTTACATAGAATCTACATATAGTAATTTCCAAGTATATTTTATATCAATATATATATATATATATATATATTTATCTATACATATACACGCGCAACACATATAAATTGTTTATATGTAGAATTTTTGTTTTGTTTATAGTTTATATATATTAATCGTAAAGTAGATATATTCGATAAATTCTTAGCAAAATATGACTACTTTTTTTATCAGAAATAAAATAAATAGATATTCAATGAAAAAAGTTTAGTTGCATTAATTAGAATTCTAGTAGATTAAACTACAACACTTACATTCTAGTTAAGATAATTAGAAATTCAATTACGATAACCAGAATTCTGATTGATCAGAATGCATTTTGTTTGTACCTTTTGTTGACACAACTAGAAAATCTTTCTTAGTGTTCTGCCTCACCATGCAACATGAACGATTTGAAGACCCCAATGATGTTGAAAGAGATCGAGGAACCTAAGAAGACGACGTTTAAATGAAATATTCGAACTTGACATTACGGCTTCCAGTTACAGAGTATCTGCTGGTACAGAAGCCACGGAGGAACTAGACTAACTGGTTGACGGGGTTATCAAGAGAACGTAGATAACGTCGTCCCATCTGCCGTTCTTAAACTGTCACACGTAACTCGTGTGGCAACTTCAACCGCGTTTCTCTCCTCTTCCTAATCGGTAGACTGGCGATCGCACGTACCGAGAAGTGTGCGACCGGCTCAAAGATATACGACGAACGAATATCCGGAAGAGGCGGTCTGAAATTCTGGACTATGTCCGAGCAACTGCAGAACGAGAGAGAGAGAGAGAGAGAAAGAGCGCAAAACGACTTTCTACCTTAGTAAATGTGCACATATGCACATATGATATATGCGAGGGTGCGACCCAATAAGACTTTAGAGTGCCCCTCGATTTCAGATTTTCAGAAAAGTCGATATTCAGAAAGGTCTATTAGAATCTCTTCTTTAATGACTATCATATTAACTCTCAGTAAACACGATTAGGGTATTCGTATCTTACGCATTTCTTCTTTGAAAATATTAAGAGCACCTGGCTAAATAATAATTTCTATTCTTGCCTCTTTTTTTTAATATACAATTTTAAAAATTATTAAATGATTTTTACATACGCTTTAATAACATCTTTATAAATACTTTCTAAATTTGTTAAAGTATATGTAAAACACTAATTAATGATTTATCGCAATGGTAATATATTTAATTCACTTACCGATGCTGCCATGAAGAGAGAAGGGGCGGCTTGGAGAGCAGCAGTTGTGGAGCCATAGCCAACTGGTGCTGCCTTCTGACATTCTATAACGACATAAAGCAATAATTTTTCATTAGCAATGCATAATAATATAAAATCAAATTTGTCATGCACATGTTTAAAATGTGTTAAAAAATGCTTATTTTATTTCAAGCTAAAAAATGTCGAGAAAATTTTATGGTAAAAAATATTCGCAAGAAAAATTTTCGTGGAAAAAGTGTGGTGAAACGCGAGCGCATATCACGCTGTATCTACATACGTAGCAAATTGAGGAATTCAATTTTATGCGTACGATATCCGACGCCAAGAGTGGTATTTTTGTCTCAGGGACTGTAACACGATTCGCAAGACCGAACAATATAACGCAATAAATGGCGAGAGAGGCTCCAATTTTTATAAGTGACTTTTACACAACTGCGCCTTGTTCATAAAAGATAACGAATAAAGTAAAGGATGTAAAAAGAACGTATTTTCGAGGTCTCATCGCCGAGTTATTTACCGACAATTTCGCAATATTGAAAATTGGAATTTTCTGGAATTTCCCCATTTCGGTCACTCGCGAATTACACAACCATGTCGTTCGTGAAAATCGATTTCAGGAATTCAGAGACGAATCCGATGAGAGAGAGGGGAAGGAAGAGAGAGAAGAAAAAAGAGCGAATAATCATATACTAATTGAAAGCAAATTCACTCTAACGTAATTGTGCGTTCTAATTTGAAATCACGTAAAAACCTCTCGCTGTGGCTCATTCGGACACCCGAATAAAGAATGAAAATATTCAGGAAAAGAAACTCTTTCATTAACGCACGTTTCATAAGAACCACGCCGTACATGCGTTCCTGTAATTAAAAGAATTACATCTTATCTCTTCAAACGTACGGATATCGCTCAAAATCTCACCGCGATAAAACAAAATCGCCGAAATTTTTTGGTCATTCCTTCGCCATCCGCGCTTGCTGAACTTTATTGGAATTTTATTGGAGATTCCCGTACAGTATATCGATGCGATTTAACGAATATGTTGGATAAAGCACAGCGAATATCTTACACGAAATTGTGTGTAATACGTCAAATCTATTTAATGTTTCTGCGAAATACCTCAATATATAACAAAAAAATATTATAACGCACAGCGTTAAATAATAGAATAATTAAATAAAAATATTATAATAAGAAAATGGGCATTATAAACAAGATAAATTTACATGTGCTGCAGATTATAAATATCATTTATGTAATTCACGTGTTACACACGTGTTCGCGCTCTTATACAATAACGTCAAAAATATCTTAATCAAATGTGTGGACGAGAGAATATTGAATATTTCAAATATATTTCCATAAGCGCATAATTCGAAAAACAACGTTAAGTATTCAAAAGCGGTTGTCCAAATATTACGCAAATTATAGCTGATAAAATATCCTAATAAATTTAAATAATAAATTTATAAACATTGTAATAAATTGGCACGTCGTACAGACGAAATAATTGTCAATAATATGCATATAATTGAAACACTGATCTCATCCAAATTGAATTCGCGTTTTATCGCATCATCAGTAACTGCTTTTCATTGTCGCTGCGTACAATGAAAAAGCAGTTATTAATGGCACGGTATTTTCGGCAGAAAGAAAAAACCGGGCATCGCGCGCCACAAAAAGAAAAACCTCGAAACCAATCAATCCAATCAAAGACAACATTTACGTTCCGCTCCGCTCTCTTCGCTTTCGCGCCACCGAACTTGAAGCTTCGCCGTGCCCGGTACAACCCGGCAAATTAACCGAAGTTTCACACGCCCCCGCTAAAACTTGATACCCCTGGCACGGCCAATCAAACTTCGAGTTTCGGTAATCCCCGGGCCAAATACTCCCGTTTACACGTTACAGGTTATGGTATAAGACGGCCCGTTTCCTCGAGTTTCGCTGCCGCTAATACCCGGAGTTTCAGCCGCAAGTTGTCATCCGGTAGCGGCAGCCGAGTTACAATCGCGAGATCGCTTTTCTTATCGGAAAAAAAGGGATGAATTGTACAAACGCGTCTACATATAAATAAGATGTTAATTTTTTTCGTACAAATTACATTTGCTGATTTATCCGAGTATACGAGTTCTTCTAGAACCTATCATTCGTTAGTCGAGTTAATTAGTACGAAACGTGTAAATAAAAGAACGATAAGGGAAAGGAAGAAGGAGAGTACAAAGAGAAGAGCAAAGAATGCAGCAATCTCTATAAAACTACACGTAGAAGGAAATCGAAGGACCGAGTTCTAGCAAATGAAATTACTTAAAGCAAACGCGTTACTTTTTCAGTATCCACTATCCGATCGCAATGACCACCCCGGTTGGTTACGTTCGATTCGAAAGGGAATGAAGCACCGATGTGTGTTTCATTCCCGTTCTTGCTGGTAGGTAGCTTCCATTGGAGTCTCCCAGTCTCCCTCTTTCCGTCACACAGTTCCGTCCGACACGGTCACATGCATATGCAAATTTATTCTACCGGTGCATTAGTGAGCACGGTGGTTTCGCGATTGTGTTTACGTGCGTGTGCGTATAAATGCGAATACGTGCATGCGCGCATTTGTACGGCGGCACATTGCGTAGCGCGTGTATGCGTGTATGTTGCGGAGAGCCATCGTCCAGGCCGATCGCGACGGAGAGGGTCATAAATTAAATGATGTAAATGCTCTGTCCACCCTCTGTCGCTGCGAGCGGAGACGGCACACAGAGCTACCCTTTCGCGTCCGCCGCCCTCCCGACTGGTAGCTGCTGCCGCCAACCCTCGTACCACCAACCACCCAGACGATCGTCGCTCTATCCCTCTTGCCTTAATGCTACACCCTACCATCTGATTATAATTATCGAGATCTACACTCGGATCCAGTTCGCGCGAGATGAAAGCGAGCGGATAGCAGTGAGAAAATGCCATTGCGTACTATCTGTTATATTACTTTCGAAATATGTGATATACGCGATGTTTGAAACTTATCGCAGTTCACATAATCCGACATCAAAAGAATCATTACGAGCTGATAATTTTATTTTATCTATGCAGGTGTCTGGCCCGATACTTATATCTCATATCTCGTATAATCAACTTTAAATTAAACTGGTATAGATATCAAACGAGCAATGGTAACTTAATCTTTTGAGTTGAAAAAATTATATTTTCTTATTTTTAACTTCCATGTGTGTGAAAATGTAAATTAATTCACTTCTGTGTAATCAGTTTCAAAGTAAATAATGTCCATATTAACGTACGCACTTACAAGGAGAGGCTACGCTCTTTACCGATTTTGATCAAACTTGCAGCGATGTCAATCCTGATTTGACCTTGACGATGAAACCAATAAAACCAGTGAATACATCTTATTAAACCCTATCACTTTTGTCTAAGACATTTTTCTCAAAAATGCATACTTTCCAAGATATAACTATTTCCAGATTTTTGGTATATTTTTAAATGCTCATTACTCGGCTTTTAAGGCCCATTAGCGAGAACGGTTTTACAAGTGTTCATTTGGTAGGTTCCTATAACATTGCTACAATTTTGATCAGAATCGGTAAAGAGTAGAACATAGCCTTTCCTTGTTAATAAATAATAAACTAAATTTGAGTCAAATTTAATATATTTTTTTTAATTGAATTGTTCATTATTTTAATTACAATAAATTAATAATATTGACTAAAAGCAGTGGTTTTTAGTCAATATTACTTACAGAATAATTAAAAATAACTTAAACATAATTTGACATTATGCAGTATAAAGATTAAAATATTATATGTATTATTTACTTTGATGTTTAGTGCGATAAAATTCTACTATATTTACTTGTTCATTATTTTTCCTATCAGAAGAAAATTTATTTTTTTTCTCACATCTTCAATATCTTGGGAAACTCACACGTTTCAGAAACGAATCGGCTCTTAACGGGGTTATACGAAACCTACGTTATCTATTTATTCCTCTCAATATCCGGTTCACCGATATTTATCTCCTTTCTTTCCATCTTCTTCGATCGTAATACGGAAGAATAAGTGCCCGGCAGATTCCCGCCGAGCGATCGATAAGCACAAGCTCTGACCTGATTTTCCCAACGTTAACTCGGCGAGGAGAGAACATCGAGTCTCGGAGCCTTCGATCGAGGAGATGGGAAGGATCGGTAGGATCGCTAAGTCCTGCTCTCAATCGGATTCGAATTTGATAGTATTTGAACAGCCCCAGCATCGCTCTCGTAAATTCGGCACGCCGTTTGTGTATCCCTTCCCCATACTCCTGGCTCCCTTCTTCCGCGCGATCCGATATTTGGTTCGACGCAGATAACCGTTATCGATTGTTGTCGCTCGTTTTCCTAAAGAACGAATCGTATTTGCAATGATCCAGTAACTTGTTCTCACAAACGCATTCAAACAGATCCGAATACAAACAAATGCGCTGATCATCGATCGCAAACGATACTCCATTGGAATTTCAGAGATACGTGGAAATTTCAGTAGTTTACATATCATTATTTACAAGTATTTGATAATGGGATAAAAGTATTATGAATAATCATGTCCATCAAATTCGGACTGTCATTGTGATCGCATGCATAATATAATCTAACAGAATCTTATTAAAAATAGTTCATTGTAAATTATAATGAAAACAACCAAGAGAATTCATCAAAATCAGAGGGAGATATTTTCCTGCGTTTCCTTGTAAGTACAAACATATTTTTGTGATTAAAGATCAATAATAAATAATTTTAATGAATTATAGTATATAAAGAATTAGTTTAAAAAAAAAAGCAATTTCTTTATGTTCATTCAAAAATGCAAGGATAATTCGGTTACCGCAATAATTTGCAAGGATTACGTAGCGAATATCGTCCGCCCGAATCGATATTTTCGCAGGTGCATAAAATACATCAAAGTCATTATCCCATTTCGCTCTTATGAAGGTTATTTATCCAATCCGTGCTGCGCTCGTAGCCCTATATCGAGTTCATGCGATATACGTCCGCGATGTTCGCGACCGAGCGCGCTTCCACCCCGA